CTGTGATGTGGTATTTTTTAATGTGGGGAAGTATATTTAAAAAAAAAAGGAAATTAATCATCCCAGTAGCACACCACCAAACTGTTATTTTGTAAAAGTAAACACAGGTTGACCAGAGTTCTTTGGGAATATTAGTTGCAATTGTCAGAGATCAATAAAAAAATCCAGAAATTTGGCATCAATTTAAGCAAACAAAGAGGCTCTATAAAGCTTTTTCCTATTACTTTAGTAGCAGGGAATATGTACGGTGTAAAAAGATTTGCCCAAAAGGTGGAAAATGCTACCTTGCTTTGACTGCATTGATGCAACAGGAGTGTGGTGAGCTTACTTTTCACGTGATTTCTCAGTCATTTTCAACTTGCCTATTCAGATGCTTTACCCATTTTTCTATTAGGCTGTTCATCTTTTGCTTATTAATTTGAATCTGTTGTTAATAAAGTTTAAAAATTAGATCTTTGCTGTGATGTATAGTGAATATATTTTCCAAGTGAGCCATTTGTCTTCTCCTTTATAGTAACATTTGTCATGAAGCGGCTTTAAGTGTTTGTGTTGGGGCGCCTGGGTGGCTCAGTCAGTTAAGCGTCTGCCTTCAGCTCAGGTCATGATCTCAGGGTCCTGGGAGTAAGTCCTGCATTGGGCTCCCTGCTCAGTGGGGAGTCTGCTTCTCCCTTTTCCTCTCCCTCTGTGTGCTCTCTAATAAATAAATAAAATCTTTAAAAAAAATGTTTGTGTTGACAATTGATCTTCCTCTCATGGGCCCTAGGTTTTATATCCTGCTTAGAAAAGCCTTTCTCACACCAGAATGAAGGATGAATTCATCTATATTTTCTTCTATTACTTCTGTACTGTTATTTTTAATATTTTATTCTTCGATCTAGCAAATTTATCTTTTATAAGGAAAACTAACCCCCCCCCAGCAGGAAAGCATCTATTCAATTATCTCTTCTCCCTCTGATTTGCAAAACCACCAAACAAAATATCCCAAACCCACGTGTCTGTTTCTGACTTGCTCTTCTGTTCTACTGCTTTCTCTGTGATTGTGGATGGGGTACATATCTGTATAACTTTTAATAACCCACAAGGCCATCCTTTTTCCTTGTCTGTTCTAGAATTTTCTTGGCTACTCCAGCTGTAAAAAATGTTAAACCATTCACTCTATAATCACAGGAAATGCTCAAATGAAACAGATCCTAAGGCTTGGAAGAATAATGGTAGTGTTTTGGGGTTTTTTTTGGTGTTGAATTTTTAACACTAACAACTGCTTACATCCTACCCACAAAGAGGTATTAGAACACCTCCATTGACAACTGGCACAAGGTCTATATGTCTATAATGCCAGATTATGCTAGCAAAATTGGTTCCAGGTGCAGGGAAACTGGAGCAGACAGCAGATGGGCTAGAGAAGTTTCTACCATGTGACTGAGCTCCCCTGCTCCTGCAAGTGCATCATAGAGGGCATCCTTGGGTGGGAATTTTAAAACGAAGGCAGCACAATGAAAAACAATATGGCATTTCTTCAAAATATTAAAAACAGAATTATCGTAGGACCAGCAATTCCACATCTGGGTACCTACCCCAAAGAGCAGAAGGCAGGAACCCAAAGACATATTTGTATGCCTACTTTCGTAGCAGCTCTGTGGACTACCGTCAGAAAGGGGAAGCAACCCAAATGCCCCTCAGTGGATGAATGGATGAATGGATAAATGAAATGTGCTATATCCACACGATGAATGTCATTCAACTTAAAAAAAAGAAGGAAATTCGGACACAGGCTACCACTGAGATGAACCTTGAGGACATTACCCTCAGTGAAGCAACCCAGTCACAAAAAGACAAACACTGTATGAGGCCACTTATAGGAGGTGCCCAGGCTAGCCAAAGTGATGAGATTGAAAGTAGAATGCCGGTGGGGCACCTGGCTGGCTCAGTGGGTGGGGCATGCCACTCCTGATCTTGGGATTGTGAGTTCGAGCCCCATGCTGGGCCCAAAGCTCACTAGAAAAAAAAAAAAAAAAGTAGAATGCTGGCTGCTAGGGGCTGGGAGGAGGGGGAATGAGGAATCATTGTTATTGTTTCTAGAGCTTTCATTTTACAAGATGAAGAGAGTTCCATGGATGGTGGTGGTGATGGTTGCACGACACTGAATGTACTCGATGCCACTGAACTGCACACTTAAAAATGGTGATGATGATATGTCAAAACTCATCCAACAGGTCACTTAAGATTTGTGCATTTCACTGAATATAAAATATAAATGGATAATAAACTTATATCTTTATTCTTCACCTATTTGCTATTCAGCACATAACGGGCAGCTCTTTCTAGAGCTCCCGTGGGCCCCCGCCCTGGCCACTGTCGTTACTGTGGTCACCTCCTTCCTCCTCACTGGGCTTCCAGCTCTGCCCTCAAACCCCCCCAACCCCCACCACCGCAGCCTGTGAAAACCGAAGTCGGATCACGACCCTCTGCTCAGAACCTCCCATGGCTCCCAACTCACTCAGACTGAAGCCAAAGTCCATCCTTTCCGAAGCCCACAAGCCTTCCAAACCAACCTGACCTCACCTCCTCATTTCCTCCTCACTCCCCCCCTGATCTGGCCACGCTCACCTCTTCCCCCTCCTCCTGCGCTTTTTCTCAACCACCAGGCGTTCCTCATGCTGACTCTTCCCTCTGCCTGGGATGCTCTGCCACCAGCCGGCTGCCTGTCTCCCTCCCTCACCTCCCACCTGGGTATTCAGATGTCACCTCCTCAGACAGGCCCTCCCTGACCCCTATATAAAACAGCCAGCGCTCTTTTCCACATACACACGCACTCACCGGGACCCTCTCCCGCTGCGTATTTCAGCACTGTACTCACCACCCCTTCGGTATCCTGCAGCTCCGTGCGCCGTCTACCTCCAACCGGAATGCCAGCCCCAAGAGGGCAGGAAACTTCGTCTGGTTCCTGGCTGTCACGGAGTCCATGCCCAGCACCTCGGGGCTGACCGAACGCACGGATGAGTGAGGACACTGCCTTCGGGGCCTCGGGGGGTGTACGCAGAGGCTCTTAGCATCATTCCCATCTCCCCCAGAGGAATGGTAAAGGCTGGGCCTTGCTCCCAGCACAGCCCTGAGCAGAATGTTGCCCCCTCCCAGAGAGGGGCTGAGAGGCTTCCTTGCAGACAGCCAAGTTCCCGGCATCTTGCTGGGCCCCATCCCCGGGTGTCCCTCCCCCCACCCCCCAACTTCAGGCCAAGTCAGCCTTTCAGACTCTACTTGCCGGCCTGGGTGAACTACAGGGAGTGACTACATCTTGGGAGGTACTTAGAGATGTTGGCCAGATACGGCTTTTCCAGAGAGGGAGAGGGGGAAAACACCCAACTGATAAACCCACTACCAGGTCTCTACGTGCCTCTACTCCGGCACCTCATTCACTCCCGTCCTCAAACCCAGCTTCCCGTTTGGTCTCTTGTGCTTCTTCCCTCCCTGACCATCTCCATTGACCTTTCAGAAAACCTTGCAGGGGAGGGCGCTGGGCAGGAGAAAACTGAAAAATCTGCTTCTGTCTGAGGGGAGGGGAGGAAAGGGCCTTCCTCTTCCAGCTGCTTTTCAAAGCGAACTCACATTTTCAGATAAATTCATGTCACTAGTTACCTGTTTTTGAAACTTCTAGAAACCCCAAGATCTGCGGGAGATCCTCTCGAGTTGGTGACAGGCTGCAAAGAGGGCACCTCAAAGGCATCTTCTGTCACGGAAAACTGACGATCCTTGCAGGACTGACAACAGCTCGTGCCAGGCTGGGAGTCTAGGACAGTGTGTTGTTCACTGGGGGGACCCGCTTCTCACATAATCCGTGACCTCACCTATAAGAGCATCAACAGATACTTAATTTGCTAAGTTTATTTTGTAACATACATGTTTACCTTTACCCATCATGGTGGCCATCTGTTAACACAATGAAGCCCTAATGGACCCGATTTTGAAACCGGGTGCTGGGGAGTCCCAGACTTCCCTCACCTTGAGAGGCCAACACACTCCTGTGTTTTGTTTTGCACAAACCCAGGGAAAACCTCGATGTGCATGGATGATGCGGATCCAGAGGAAGAGCTGCAAACGGAAACCGGTTTCTTCTCCCCCCAACCCCCGCCCCAGGCATCTTCAGTTAAAACTCATCCAGGTTTTTGAAATTGTCACGTTTATTTTCAAGGCGGACTTACTAACAACATCTAACAACTGTTCATATTCTCGAGCACAAAAACTGAAGTCAGAAGAGAGCCCCTGGACACATCCAAGGGCTGAAACTCCGCACGACGGTATGATTACTGAGCGCCATGTGAATACACTGACGTGCTATCATACAGCTGAACGTCACAGCGTAACAAGAGCATGTGAATTACAAAGGGAAACTTCTTCCAGAGCGTTACAGCACAGGGCATGCACTGGACGCAATCTCTTCCACTTGCAACCTCTCTTATCAGCCACACTTATAAGAAATTCGGCTATATACAAATAGATGGCAGAAACAACTCACTGGAGACCTGTACGAAATCAAGTTCACTTAGGAACACAAGGTAATATTCTGATTGTCTCCTATGTGATGGGTTTGGCCTACGACGTTCAAGCTCCAGCGTTTTGGTTTTTTTTTATAGACATGAAAAAAATAGATTCGGTTTACATCTTTGAGCATTCCTTGGGCCTCCCAGGACACTTTTTTTTTTTTAGAGATTTTATTTATTTATTTGAGAGAGACAGCGAGAGAGGGAACACAAGCAGGGGGAGTGGGAGAGGGAGAAGCAGGCTTCCCGCTGAGCAGGGAGCCCCATGTGGGACTCGATCCCAGGACCCTGGGATCATGACCTGAGCCGAAGGCAGATGCTTAACGACTGAGCCACCCAGGTGCCCTCCCAGGACACTTTTTAACCATTGGTGTTGGGTATCCCGCCCCCTCCCCCTACACACACACACACACACACACACACACACACACACACACAGGAAACATGGTATGCTAGTCTATTCAGAGAACAGAAATTAACAGCCAACTTCTTAAGAATTTTTTCCCTTTCTTATTATAACGTGAGAAGTGTTTTCAGCCCCAAAGATGTGGAGAATTTGGTAGTGCTGGATGGACTTGGGCCTGGGAAGCCAGAAGTGCTTGAGTCCTTCCCTACCAATCACCCTTCCTCCCCACAGGCTTCCAGAGAGCATCTGACCCCAAATGGGAGTCCAAGTACCATTTTTATTCATAGAACCTAAACCTCAAACACTTCAAAGCCTAAGCACACACTCTTGTCGCCCAGAACTAACTTGTGGGACCTGCCTGCCCTCTGGCTAGTTAACTGGAGGATGGAAGCTGAAGAGCAGGAGGTGCAAGGAAGGCAGGTCTGCTTTGAAGATCTATGCTTAACTTCCCAGTAGGTGAAAGAGAAGGTGGGAGAAAGTGCCAGGCCCTGCATGTAGAGGTCGGCTCACTCTCCAGGAAGCAGGGAATAAGGATGAAAGGCAGAACATGAACAGGCACCCTGCCCATGTACGGAAAAGTGAATATGCTAGGATTTTCCCAGTCTGCTTAGCGAATTCTCCAACCTCTGAAGGTGAGTCGAGGGGGAGGGGCAAAAGCAGGCCTGGCAGAGAAAAGAGCAGAGAGGTGCACCTCCCTCCCTTAACCTCTCCCACCTAAGAGCTCAGGCATGGTTTTCCTCTGAGAGGCCCATCTCTCCAAACTGGGTCCCTAAGAGTCCAAAGTCATGGTTCATTCATTAAGGAAAAAAACTTTGTTCCCCATTTGATACTTCATCCTTGGTCTTCTTTCAACTAATAGGGTATGGGTGGTCCCCCGAATCAAAGCTTTCTGGGTTCTGTGGGTAAATTAGAAGAGCTCACCAGGGAAGGAGATGTCATTTGGAATTTCTTTCTTACTTCCTTGGACCTTTTAAGTGCTTGAACATTTCTATCCTGCAACCAGGCTTCCAGAAAACTCCACCCTCAAAGCCGTCGACCCGGACAAATGTTCTCACTCCCAACTATTCGATTCTTATCAAGGGAGCTAGGTCGGATGGAGTAGCAGAATGACTTGAGACTACCACAGCGACACTCAAGCAACAAAGGAGAGGTGAGGGGTTTGCTTTGCCACCTCCTGCCCATAGGTGTCCCCAAGGTTGGCCTTCAGGGGCTCCTAGGCGGGAGGTCAGGGCTCCCGCCCTCTAAAACCTCAACTGGTGTGTCATCCGCCTCCTCCAGGGCACTGGGGTCCTCCTCGCGCACCACCTGACCTGCCACGCCCCCTAGTGACTCTGCGCCCACCCGCCGCTCCGGCTCGGGTTCCCGACTCATCCATTTGCCGGCACAACCCCAATGACTTCTATTGTCATTCGGACCACTGGAGGCATGAGAAGAGCCTTCCGGCTTGGCCTTTGGGCCCCGAGACGTCGAGGCGGGCAACCCCATGGGCTGGGGGCCTCGAAAGGCCTTCTGAGCTGAGCCATCTCTTCTTGAGCCCGGCCCTTTCTTCCCCATCACTGGCTGCTTCTTGGCATCTTCTGAATCGACAAGGACGTACGAAACAGGGCCCAAGCTCACCTTCTTCTTCTTTCTCACGGGGGCAGGGCTCTTTGCCAAGGCCCAGCCCATGGCCTTCTTCTTTGGGAGGCCCTCCTGACCGCCATCTTGGTCTGACTGCGAAGCGACCCCAGGGCTCACAGCTTCTGACCGGGCATCATGGGAGGGGCTGCTGGGAGCCTTCCAGGCACCTTTCGCCACAGGCTTTTTCAAAGTCGACTTCTCCTGCTTCACACAGGGCTTTCTGTTGCTCCTGACGGATTCTGACACCTCCATATTTTCAGTACCATCAGCCTCAGGATCCTCCAAAGGGGCTGAGCTGTTGGAATGGTGGCCTTTGGGCTTATTCCAGAGCCCTGATTCCTGCTTAGTGTTTTTTTTCTGCTTCTTTCTCCTGGAGCGACTTTTCACTCCAAGCCGGCGAACCAGAGGTTTGGGAGGGTCACCTTCGTCTTCCAGGTCATTCCAGGTGTCGGGATTCTCCATCTTCAAAGCAGAACCTAGTTCTGCAGCCCGCCCTGGCTCCTTCTTGACCTTCCTCCACGCTGCTAAGGCTGACGTTGCTACTGCCTGGGCATCAGCCCCTTCTTGAGCCCTAGCTTCCTCGCGGCCGCGGATCTCGGCATCCATGTAATAGATGATTTGCACCACTGCCCCCAGGAGCACCCCCAAAGCTTCTGCCCAGTTCTCTGGGGGCTGATTCTGGGGCCGTGAGGGGTGGCTGAGCTGGAGCAGACGGACCACATCCTCCCAGGTACGCCCCTCGGCATCCAGGAATTCATTCAGATTTTTCAGAAACTCAGCATCCTGGGTGAGGTCTCTACAAACCACTGTCCAGACGCCCCCCCTTCCTGGGAATTCCCGGGGTATGGCCCTGAGATTCACACCCTCTCCGACCTCAATGAGGGCAGCTTTGGCATTCTCTTCCCTCAGAAAAATCTTATTGAGCACGAAGTATGGGCCCAGCGGGGAGAGGACCCCATTCAAAGTCTCCTCAATTTCTGCTTGACCACAGTCCTCTGGGATGCCCGTGACCAACAGGGACCTGTGGATGTCCACTTCCATCCCCCGGCACCAGTCCTCCAGAAGGTTCAGGGCCATGGTCGCGGACACCTGGCGGCTCTAATCTCACGTGCACTCAACCGTCCATAAGGTGGACGGTCCCCAGATATTGATCCTGTAAGGTGACAGGACAGGGAGGTCAGATTCCCCGGAAGACGGCCAGGTTCAGAGATCTCAGCTGCCCCCTGCGCGGCGGGCCTACAGGCGGCCTCGCGCTTCCCCAGGCCCCTCCTCCCCAAACCGGGCCCCCGGGTGCTCACACGTGTCCTGCGACCCGCCGAAAACCGCGCTCGGCCCTGCCCCGGGCCTGGCCGGAGGCCGCCCACTAGGGATCTGGCAGCCCTGCCCCCGGCCGCCCGCTCGGGTCGGGCAGAGGACAGGCCGCCGGGATGCAGCCGCTCGCGAGGCGCCTGCTCGGCCCACCCAGGCCGGCTGCTCCCGGCCGAAGCTGCCGAGAAGCCGGCGGCCGCTCCTGCTCGGGCCCCGGCTGGTCACGCGGCGCCTCACCTCGATCCCGGCAGCTGCGCGGAGCCCAGGCTGGCGTCGCAGCGCGCGCTTGCGCACTTGCGTCCGCGCCGGTCCAGCGGTCGTCATGGCAACCGGCCCTGGCTGCGGATGCGCCCTCCCGCCTGAGGGGGGCCCAGCGCGAGAGTTGGGGCGGGGGGTAGGGGGCGTTCAGCAGCTCACAGAGCAAAGGGTGTGCGCATCTCCGATGTTCCCTCCAGACGCACTCTTTCCACTCTTTTCAATTCAACGTGGGCCTCGGGGACCAGGGTGGAGTGCCCCGACTTCTATGATGGCAACCAACCAGCCCTCCTAACCTCTCCCTTTCGCCTGGGTTCAGCCCATGGGACTCCTGGGAGCCACCAGAAACCCGAGGGCGAGAGAAAACAGCAGCTTTAATCCCCCTGAGTTCTTCTAACAAAGCCGAAGTCCCTGACAGCCCCGTCATTCGGCCACAGTTTCCCTGCTTCCAGAAATATCCAGGAGCTTCTAGAAACTCCCGCCTTCTGCCCCACGTGCCCTTCAAGTCTGGGCATAGTGCCTCATCTCTCCTTGCTGGCTTCCTCAACTTGCTGCCCACAGGCAACACCTTTGTTGATGGTTAATGAAACACTTCTCAATGACTCAGTTTTGAGTTGCTGTTTCCTGTCAGGACCTCACTGATGCACCTAGCAATGCTGCTTACTGGCTGCACAGCCTCGGACACTTTGAGCTCTCCGAGCTCCTTCCTCTTCTTCCTAAAAGAAATACCAATAAAAACCTTCGTGATCAGCACTTTGAAGGTTCAGGGATATCACATATGAAAGATGCAGCAAAGTACAATTTTGGCCTGAGTATTCAACCAAAATCTGTAATTTGGATTCCATTTTGGAATTGGGACCTTTGCAAGACCAACTAGCCAAATGCGTGTTCAGCTGTCATCTCTAGCATCCCTGAACGTGGGTGTGATCAGTCCTCTGATTTTGCAATATGTGTGTGATTGCCCAAGTTCCCATGATATTTCATGGGGAGAAAAAAAAGACATGTCATTCAAATTGTTAAATCTGAATATCTCATTCTAATAAACACTCTAGCCATAACTAGAGTTTAAAAATCCCATGTACTTTACCGGTGGAAATTCTATTAATCAGCGGAAGAATGAATGTGTATCATCATGCAGTGGTTTTAAAACATGGCCGTAGTTTTTTTTATATTCCTATTGAAAGGTAGTGATCTATATCCCTCTTATTGAATCTGAGCAGACTTGTAAATTCTTTAACCAATAGAGAGTGTGGTCAAAGGGAAATTATTGGGCCAAGAGCATCATGGAAGGGAATCTACGTGACTTCTCATGTTATAAAGGGCCATGCAACTTCTTCCTTGTTTGTTGGGACCCTCTCATTCTTGGATCCCTGAACTCCAAGTAAGAAGGTCAACTAGCCTCTGGCTGCCATGTTGTGAGGAAGCTCAAGCCAACTGGAGACGCCACATGTGTGTGTGCCAATCAACAATTCCCAGCTGAACCCAACCTTCAAACGATCTTGGCCCAGGCATCAGACATGTGAGTGAGAAAACTTCTAGATGATTCTAGCTCCTAACCATTTGACTCACTCCCGAACGATTTACATCTTCCCAGTTGAGGCCCAGCCATCGTGTAGTGGAAACAAACCATCACAGCTGTCACCTGTGTGAATTTCTGACCCACAGAATCAATGAATGTAACAAAATGATCATCTACACCGCTAAGTCTTGGGGTTGCCTATTAGGCAGCAAGAGATCATTGGAAGATCCTGCAAAGGTGAAATGCAGCAAGGATCAATGATGATTGATAAAGCACTACTACAAAAGAAAAGAAAGCAACAACCTTAAGTCTGCTCCCCAAAAAAGATTCCCCTAAATGGCTTTTTCAAGCAGTGCACAAAGATGCGCTTTCATGGGATTTCAGTTCCATGGGATTGTTTCAATGAAATAGCATCATCACCATCAACCAGATCTTCCACCTTGTGAGTTGAAGAGGAAATAAATTTTCTACTGTAGTCAGTTACTTTTAGCAAAGAAGGAAATCTTGATAGTTTGGTGACATGTCACCCTCAACAATGCTGGTCAAAAATGTCTTGTTCCGGGGTGTCTGGGTGGTTCAGTCGGTTAAGCGTCTGCCTTTGGCACAGGTCATGATCCCAGGGTCTTGGGATCGAGCCCCACATTAGGCTCCCTGCTCAGCGGGGTACCTGCTTCTCCCTCTCCCTCTGCCTGCTACTCCACCTGCTTATTCTCTCTCTGTCAAATAAGTAAATAAAAAAATCTTAAAAAAAAAGTCTTGTTCCTTCATCAGCCATTTAGTATCATAAATGGGCAGGAGAGAGACCAGAGGAGTCAGCTAGTAGCCACCTGTGCTACAAAATTACACTGGCAACTACATTTTGAAAAAATAAAATTGTGATATAAATTGAAAGGTTTTCATAACATTTCAGATTTATTCCTATATTCCCTAAAGTTTATTCTATAATGGCGATCTTTGCCTGTGACCAAATACTCAGCCATTCAATATTTTGTCAAAATGTGTATTTGGTCCTGACACATAGCCAGCTCTTTTTATTCTTGTAACAGCAGGAGTCCCAAAGGGCTTTCCCACTGTTGAGCAGACTTCTTTTATGCTCTCTCCAGTGACCTGGAGTTTGTTCTGGGATGGTTGAACGGATGGGTCCTGGAAAGTAGCAAGAGGGTATGACTTAACTGCTACCAAATGGGATGTTCTCTTTAGAAAATTCTGGCAACTTGTACTGAAATCTAGCGCTAGCACAGGGAGCTGTTTTAAATTTGCTGATTGAGAATAGCTCAATTGAGAAAGCACAAAAACACCCAGCGTTGATGAGGAAAAGAGAGGCTGGAACTCTCATACAGGTACATGGCTGGTGACAATGTAAACTTTGGAAAACTCTTTAGCTATATCTACTAAAGCGAAACGTATGAAAACTCTACACCTTAGATGTATATACCCAACAGAAATGTGTTCACTAAAAGCCATGGGTGAGGATATTCACTGCAACACGATTCATGATATAGCTGTAATCCAGAAGCTACCCAAATGCCAATCAACAGAAGAATAGATAATTGTGGCATGTTCACCCAATGAAATACTACTCGATTAGAAAGAATGAGCTACAACTACACACAACAGTGTGGACGAATCTTGCGACTATGATGTTAAGCCAAAGAAACCAGACACAAAAGCATGTATGGTATGATCCCATTTATTATATGAAGTACAGAAGACAGGCAAAATCAATCTATGCTATTAGAAGTCGGGACAGTGGTTTCCTGTGGAATGTCTTAATGACTTGAACTGTGGGACTCCCAGGGGGAGGGAGAGCTGGTGATGCTCTCTTTCTCTTTGTGGGTATTGGTTATGGGTGTGTTCAGACTATGAAAATTCAGCATGCTGTATGCCCATGACATGCGCACTTTTGAGTAAATAATGTATACTGCAATAATAGGCTTTACTGTTTTGCTGATGGGTTGGATGTGAAGTGCAAGGGTAACCGAGAAAGAATGACTCCTGAAATTTTTGGCATGAGCAACTAGAAGGAGAGTGATGCCATTTCTTTTTGCCTGGGGAAGATTTGATGGAGAACGCATTTGTGGTGGAGGGGAGAGGGCAAATCACAAGTTTAGTTTGGGCCATGTTGAGTTTAAGATGTTGGGTTGAGGGTCCCCAAGACCATGCTCAGGTTCAGTGGTTTCCTAGATGTATGGAACACAGAAGAGTTATTGTACTCACGGTTATAGTTTATTACAGCAAATGAACAAGAGTAGATAGGACAGAGCCCAGAAGAGACCAGGCATGAGCTTCAAGTTGTCTCTCCCGGTGGAGTCATGTGAACAGCATTGACTTTTTCTGGCAACAATGGGTGACAACACATACAGAGTGTTGCCAACAGGGCAGCTCACCTGAGCCGCAGTGTGCACGATTTTTATTTCTGGGTCAATCACATAGGCGTGGAGCACCTGTGTAGCTGAGCTTACTCAGCCTCCAGCTACTCCAGAGCTCAAAGTGATAGTGCATGGCCCAAGGCCCCCACCATGAATGGCGTTGTTAGTATAGGATTCTCCAGGGACTTAGAGGTTAACTAGGAGCCAGTCAAGGGCCAGTCATTTCCTTGGGATGTGCAGGTTTGGACAACCCAGGCCTCCCGAGTTAACCCTTTATTGCATGGATGCCTATGAGTGTATCAATCAGGGATTGATCAGAGAAGCAGATTGCTAAGTGTTCCAAAATACCTAAAAGATAAATAAATATTTAAGAGAGATTAAAATTTTTAATTTGTTTTTAAATATCAAAAGGAATATATAAATATGTATTTGTACATGTACAATGACATGTGTGTATATGTGTGTGTGTGTGTATATATATATGTGTACGTGTATGGGTGGGGGGGTGAGCGTGAGTGTGTGCCTGTGTGGTAAATGGAATCCGCTACCTGCTCCCTCTCCTGTCGAGGAGCCACCCTGATTACCAGCAGACCTAAAAATAGTTTTGAAGCACTCTTGGTGGAAGTCAGTGCTGTGGTTTCCATGACAGCACATCCCCACAGCCCCAACCCTTCTACCCATTTCTGCACTTCTGGTCTGGGGTCACCTTTTCATTCTCTTCCTCTCTGTTTCACCTTTGGGTTTTTATTTTGTGTCCGTGCATTTTATTAAAAAAATTTTTTTTAGATCTTTATTTATTTATCTGAGAGAGAGAGAGAGAGAACACAAGCGAGGGGGAGGAGCAGAGGGAGAAGCCGACTCCCTGCTGAGCAGGGAGCCTAACAGGCAGGCTCAATCCGATCCCAGGACTCCAGGATCATTTTTTTTTTTTAAAGATCTTATTTATTTATTTGAGAGAGAATGAGAGATAGAGAGCACGAGAGGGAAGAGGGTCAGAGGGAGAAGCAGACTCCCTGCTGAGCAGGGAGCCCGATGTGGGACTCGATCCCAGGACTCCAGGATCATGACCTGAGCCGAAGGCAGTCGCTTAACCAACTGAGCCACCCAGGCGCCCAGGACTCCAGGATCATAACCTGAGCCGAAGGCAGACACCACCCAGGCACTGCTATGTATCTGTGCAT